CGACAAAGTCGACAGCGGAGCTAACAATAGAGAGCTGCAGATATTGTTGAGAAAATTAACAAAACAACCTAATACATTGTGGATATGAAAGCGACCTTATTTACAGTTTTGAAGAAAAAAAAGGTAGTTATGTAACTACAGGGATGAACAGTCTTTATACATATGTTATTTTAGTCAACTACTTGTCCAGAAGATGGAAACAGTACTATTTTGATTAAATGTTGCATTTTTATATTGAAGAAATATTTTCAATTAAGGTAGCAACAAGAGGAATACTAGTTAAAACATAATTTGTGATTCAGATATTCTCTAAATGTTATTACCGGTAAGTACATGTATGTCGATACAACAAACGATACATCATGAGAAAGCGTTGAAAATAACAGTGTTATAAAAAGTTGAAATTGTCAAAAAAGCATAACAGTGAAATTGTCCGTTCCTTGGACAAACTCGGTACAGCATGCTGTAAAGATGTTGTATAGGTTGTTATAGTAGCACGCTGATGAACTTATGAAGTTTGAACCACAGCACAAATCACTGTTTAACTTGTTTTTCCCCTGTTGTACGTAATCTTACAAATCTGTAATTTGTAATTACAAATCTTAACTATATTAACACCAACTTTTGTCACCTTTGAAGGTTACTCGGGGCAACATGGAAGTTGGTTGTCTTGTCATCTTGGAAGACAACAAGGTAAAAATTTAAGATATGGATAATGACAATCAGTAATATTTATGTCTCTAGTATTTTATCAGAACAGTAGGGTGAAACTCTGACTTGAGATGACATATGACCGTACGAAACCATTGTATAATGGCCGATTGCAATGTCTTATTTAGGCCTGCGATGTCTTAAGGTAGCGGGACTATTATTTGCATACTTGTTTTCATCTTCTAATTGTGACTAAATGACTATAAATAGACCCAGGAAAGTATATATTTTTGGAATCACCAGACTTCAAGCTTTTCAAAAATGTGTTTTACATGCCCGTCTCTGCATTCTACGACACGTTACTCAATCAAAGGTGAAAAAATACTTTTTTTGTGAAAAAAATAATTACGCAGTTATGCTGGTGATAAGAAGTTTTTTTTTTTCACTTTTCCTAGTTGTTCAATAGTCTGGTAAATTAAATTTGTCTGGTCAGTTTTATTCAAGCAACGCGTTTTAAAAAGTGGTGTGCTGAATTTTAATTTCTGTTTTAGTCGCATTGCCCCCAACTCAAACCACAACACATTGGTAAATAATTCATGAAATAGTTTGGCTGGACACATTCAAGTTCCTCTCATTGTCACCTTAAAGCTGTGAAAATTTGGTGTTAATCTGACGACAATAAGTATACGTTATTTTTTGTTAAAGACCTTGTATTTTGAAAAACATAAACTCCTAGAAAATGTCCATGAAGTCACAGCAATGATTTTCAAGCTTGTTTATCTGCACAAGCGATTTGTTTTCCCATCAAGGTCTGTTTTACCATGTGTATGGGCATCCAAATGTGTAAGGCTATTGGAAACGAAAACAAGCAGCCTATCGGCTGAGATAGCTCCGCTGTTAGCAATGCACATTTCAATTAAAGAACAGAAGACATCATTAGAAAATGAACAATGTGTATAGTATCAAAGCAATCGGACTCACA